CGACAATAGTTCAAGATTCAATACCACTGTCAAGGTAGTAAGTAAACAGTTCACCCCGGTAACCTAGAGAGAAAAAAAAAACTGTGAGGTTTATGTCAGGAATTCCCGAAAAAATTCCCTTAGAAAAGGCAAACATTTTACACATGTCAAACGGCTGTCGACATATTGACCAATGCATTGTGAACTGACAGGCGCCGTGATGTAGCGGCTAGACACACGCTTGCAAATCGGAAGGTAGCGGGTTCGGGCCTTACTGTTTTTAAAAATGACCTTGGCTCCCAGGCCGACTCAGCCTTGAGTGCCTACCAGGTAGAGTTCTGGGAAGTAAAGGCAGTCGGTGTGATGCTGACCACACTATTCACCGAGTGCTAATTGATCTACAAGATATAGGTCTAGCCCTATGGGCCTGAAGGGGCGGAAAAGGGTCCTTAACTTACTTTACTCAATGTGAACCATAAGACAAATAATGTCATCTATACGTTGTAGCATTTTCTGGACTACACAGTGTCTGGCATAACCAATCAATAATCTGTGTAGCATCCAAAGGCGACGACAGAAAAGAAAACAGGGAAAACGTGTGTGTGTGTGTGTGGGGGGGGGGGGGGGTGGGATGTCACGGTCTCCTCACACATTTTATATGGATGAAGGCTTGATGGTGTCTAAGCCGTCTTTGACTAATACTACTAAATACTACTATACAACAACAACAACAACAACAACAACAACAAGAACAAGAACAAGAACAACAAGAACAAGAACAACAACAACTACTACTACTACTGCTGCTGCTGCTGCTGCTGTTGTTGCTGCTGCTACTACTACTATTACTACTTCTTCTGCTGGTGCTGCTGCAACTACTACTTTTACTACTAATAATTTTGTAATAATAATAATTGTAGTGGGAAAATTCTTCATCTTCTTTTTTCTTTTGTTCGGTCGAAACAGGTTATCTATATTTCCAATGTTATCTCTAGTATGAACTTCACTGTCTGTTGTAAATCAGTCAGTGGCCTTGGTATGTTGCATTTGGGACAGTCCTGGAAGGCGTGAAGAGCTGTCTTAGGTGCTAATCCACGTGTACTTATGGCTGATTCGCCATTCTTAAATTTTGTTTACATGTGGCTGTGAAGTCGACTGTGTCCTGTTCTGATGCGTAGAATAATGACTTGCTCTAATAATACCAATGGTCGGCTCTGTGGCTAAGTCTATGCAAACGCTTCGTAATGCCTGGATGCCGGGTTCGATCCCAGCTGCAGGCCATGCGCCTTGCGTTGGTTTGGACAGCGGTATCAGGTGGCCAACCGTCCAGAAAGCAATAGCAAACTACTGGATGTAAATTTGCCTAGAGAAACCACACAACAGCCAAGGGCTGCTGGGGTTGTTTCTGCAATGTCCTGTAAAGGATACGCAACTAAAAAATAACAACAACAATAATAATAATGATAATTATAATAACAGTGTGCGGAATGCAAAAAATATAGCAATATATTTGAAATAATGTGATAGGATTAAAACAAAAACTTAAAAAGACAACATTAGCTGAAGTAAGGAAGTGGGACTCAAAAGCATGAATCTTCTCCAATCCCACATTGTGGGGTGGGGGGTGGGGGGCTTAAAGTACTGAAATCTCCCAGTTCCAGAGCCCATGACAGACACCATTCACCTCCCCCCCTCCAACCCCCCCCCCCCCCCCCCCCCCCCCCCCCCCCACCGACCATCTATCCAATCAATACGCTGAAGAGATGCCATTTTATTGCCTCGGTCATTTCCGGTCTTTCCCGGACAGTTTCAATATGTCTGCGGTTGGAATGTAGGAGACTTCCGTCCAAGATGGCGGTAGCTGTCAGATGTATCTGCTGATGTCAAGAACAGAAGGGATGCATAAGAGAGGATGTGGTGCGTGAGGTGAATTAAGATATTTTCTCTTTCTTTAAAAGGTCTTGGCTTGCTTTGCGAAAAAAAAAAAATCGTCTCGCCCAAACAGTATTCCCAAAGGAAGAGCTTTGGGTTATAATTGTGACTAGGTTATCTGATCTGTATAAAATGGTTTATTATTGCTCGCCACCAAGTTGCCCTGAAAAGGATTCTTGTAGGATTGATGCGATCAATAGAGACAGACCCAAATACTGTCCTGACCGGCGACGAAGTCGTCTACCGGCCAATAAATGGTCGACCCCGTCGCCGATGCTTTAATAGGCCATTGACGCCCTAGTAGTATGTTGGTCCGCCATTGAGCGACTCAGTCGTTGGTCTGAGAGTATTTGAGTCAAGGCAGCAACACTGCAAGTCCTTTTCAGGGCTACCTGATGGTGAGCATTTTGTAGCCTTGAACATGGGCGCAAATCAAGACAGACTACAAAATAACTAAAAGCTCTCTCTCTCTCTCTCTCTCTCTCTCTCTTTCTCTCTCTCTCTCTCTCTTCTCTCTCTCTCTCTCTCTCTCTTCTCTCTCTCTCTCTCTCTCTCTCTCTCTCTCTCTCTCTCTCTCTCTCTCTCTCTC